AATCAATACATATGGTGAGAGAAAAAATAATGGCGGATTGATAATTGAATCGGGTGCTTCGTTAGGAAAAATTTCGTTAGAAACAAAGAAAAGTGTACCAAACTGTTAGATGAAAGGACATGGCATATAGAAGAAGAAAGAATATATGTTTCCAGTCGGGTTCGTTTTACTCACGCACCGTTGTGAAAGGTATGAATCTCTCATTTCTCTCTCACCCAGCTATTGGTTAAATAGCAGGACACACTGGAGCCTATAGCCTTGGTTGGCAACCAGTCTACTGTAGAAAAAAAACGGCAGCCTACTGCGAGAAATCTTCTGCCTAGTCAGTCATGAATCGAAAGACATGATCAGCCAAGTGTGTATACCACTTGACTGACTACCTCTTCTCATATATATATATATATATATATATATATATATATATATATATATATATATATATAAAGACATTATTATGTTTATACATTATTTCTATAGATACAAATATTTAAGTAAATGGTATGTTTATAATAAACAGTATTGAACAACATTTACCAGCCTGAATGTCCGAGAAATTTTCACAGAAAATATTCGTCCTCCGACCTGTAAATGTTGTTTAATACTGTTTTATTATAAACAGAGCATTTACTTAAATATTTGTATCTATAAAATGTATAAACATAAAAATGTCTTAAAATAATTGTCGGACTTTGACCATTTATATATACAGATATATATATATATATATATATATATATATATATATAGTCATCTTCAGACAGACTGTTTCGCTATATCATAGCTCATCACTATGCCTATCGTCGGGTTGCCTATAGCTAGGATCGAAACCCAACTGAAATTGGCATCAGTCGGGGGTATTCTACCACTAAGCCGTTGGCATACGTCAGGTATGAAGGTGAATTTATTTATTTTTAGATAAACACACAGTGACCGAGAGAACTCGATTCGATTTACCGAAGAGTCTTGCATTGTTAGCCGTAATAGTCACTGTTTAGAAACCAGCACTTCCTCCCCAGAGAGCTCAACCGAAATAAATTTTTCAGGAGCATACATATATATATATATATATATATATATATATATATATATATATATATATATATATATAATAAATACATATATACCTACGTTTGTAATGTACTCAGACTTTCATGGTTAACCAATGAATTGGGTAACCATGAAAGGTATTTATATGTATCTATTAATATATATATATATATATATATATATATATATATATATATATATATATATATATATTATAGCTCTGTTAAACTACATTGAGCATTGTTTTGTTTACATCTTAAATTAAGTAAATATTTATTTACCCATGTGTATATGTATCTTATCACACGCATATATAGTTATTAATATCTCGTTATTTATTATTTAGTTTTTGTTCAAACTTATATATATAAGGGGGAAGTTATAGCTGTTTCAGCGAGAGAAAAACGTATATTTTAAAGAGTAGACAGAAGCCGCAAACGTTTTTTGGTTATAATGTGAATTTTTAAAATATATATTATACATCATTTTCTATATTTCGGATCTTGCGACCTTAATCAAGAGGAGTCGTTTATTTCCACATATTATTTAAAAGAATTCATTTTTCCTTATGCTTTCCTATGTTTATATTTTTGTGCATAAAAAGACTATAGTTAAACCTCGGAAGACATAAGGAAAAAGAATACAGTAGGGTCAGTTGGGCACTGTCTGTGAGAGAAAGAGTATCATGACGCAATTCCTTCCACCAGAAGCATCCGTGTCGGAAGATCCAATGCGAACATTTCAAAGTGTTTGCGTGTCAATCTTTTGGATGATATATCCAGTCAACATCATGGTGTTTAGAGTGATCACCACTGCTGGCGACGTTAGGCCTCCATACATCTCCTCACAGGGCTCCAGGCTCAACACAGAGGCCTACATCAAGTGCTGACCTGGGTCAAGAGAGTGTCTGCTAGAAGAACCTATGTCTGGCAACAGGACTCTGCGCCATGCCACAAAAGCAGGAGAACCCAATATATAGCTGTCAGGCATTCCTTAGACCGCAACCTCCATGATTATGTGTGAGGTTCAGTTGTGCTAGAGACCAACAAAATTCCTTCTAATGCCAAAGATGAACTGAAGGCAAGGATTATGGCAACATTGAACAATTTAAACAAGGAGACCGTCCAGAACAGTTGCAGAAGATTCCGAAGTCGCCTGAGAGTCGTGGTTGAAGACTATGGCGATTTTATTGAATAAATTTACTCTTTAATATTTGAAGATATTTTTGTGCAATTTTGATGTCAGAGTTATTTTCATTTTGTGTAGTTCAGACGACACATTACGCGTCGCACCATATATATATATATATATATATATATATATATACATATATATATATATCTATCTATCTATCTATATATATATATATATATATATATATATATATATATATATATGAAAATTATATATATATATATATATATATATATATATATATATATATATATATGAAATTTTACAGATTTCACACATTGGACGAAACGCGTCAGCAATAACTACAGTTTTCCTATTGTCATTTTTATATATATATATATATATATATATATATATATATATATATATATATATATATATATATATAAGATATATTTGGGGACAACTAATCAAAATTTGATAACAAAGAACTGTTGGGTCAGTCTGTCTGCGTAATTTTTCATGGCAATTTTTCCAATTATTGAATAAGACATTGGGTTATTGTGACCAAAATTGTGGATTTTAATCATAAAACACAACACCTTATTCGAGAAATGAAAAAGTAGAATAAAAAATTAAACAGACAGAACTTGTCGGTTGTTTTTTAAGCAATCTTTTTTCGATATATACATATATTCACAACTATATATATATATATATATATATATATATATATATATAGTTGTGAAAATGCTAATAAAACATATGTCTGGTGTAAAAGATATCAAGCAGAAAACAATGACCTAGGTTCAGCATGTGTATTTTCTTCGTTTCCCACAACAGTACACACACACAGACACAGACACACAGGCACACACACACACACACATATATATATATATATATATATATACTCAGTTGTATGGATGAGTTTGTGACCCAGGGTCTCACGCTTTTGAGATCATCAGCTCTATCACTGATATTCAGCGATTTGCACTAAGTACTGCGCATATAAAATAATAATAATAATAATATATATATATATATATATATATATATATATATTATTATAAATTAATTGATTTAAAATATGCTTTTTTCCGCTACACAGTTCTAATCATGTTTACTGTTCTTTCTTTTTTATTTAAATACACACACACACACACACACACATATATATATATATATATATATATATATATATATATATATATATGCAATTTCAAAGAATTAATTGTTTTGTATTTTTAATCCGAGAATTTTATTTCTTCAAACGCTATTTTAGTGGATACGCTTGTTTG